GTGCTATCATCTGAGTTGTGATGCCATTTTCTTACCAAGTCACGAAATTTACAGGTCACGGAGGTGGAACTATATGCAATAGAGATATTTGTTGTTGGGGGAAAAATAAAAAAAAAAAAACAGAAATCGAACGTGAGATAATATAATTTGTTCCTTCAATATTGCTTGCAGCAAATGAATGCCACGGGATGATGGCTAACGTCCGCTGGACAATCTTTCTGACGGCCCAGATGATAATGTCCGCCATCTTGTTTTTTCTCTTCGGTGGTACCCAGACCCTTGCATCACAGCTACAGTAGATCGCTCGACCCCGCTCGTTTCAACGCTCTAGCTCCTTACGCCCTGATTTGTAGTTTGTACACTCCCGCCTATTCCAGATAGTACTGTTACAGGTACGTTAAAGCCTTTTTTCTGTCCCATAAAGCTAGATTAAACCCAGCAACAATTTATAGTGTGTTTCTTTTTTTATATTACAAATTTAGGGGGCATTAGAAGTCATTGTTTTCAAGACACCCGAGTATGTGTAACCGGCTTTGACATATTCCACGATAGCCATTAAAATAAATACTATAAATTGTTGCCATTCAAATCTTAAATTTACTTTAGATTAATCATCTTCCGGTCGGTGCTGTTTAAGCGGTAGAGCTTTATTTATGAAGAATTGAAAGATGTATTTGAGGAAAACAAGTCTGGTTTTGACAGTTAAAGTCGCACTTTGACTTATTTCGTCCCATTTGAAGAACATATGGCTGACAAGTGTCTCGCAAAACCGTTGCGAAGTTTCTAGCATCTACTTGCGATTCTCCGCGTATTATACATGATGAGAATCAATTACGATTCAGCAACAGTAAACATTTCCGTGTTTATGGAACAAAGAAACATTTCGTTTCAGAATGATATTTCCCTAAAAACCATGAGATTGGGAGTCTTGTCGTGAGACAAGGTAAAAAATCGTGAGACTCACGGCAGAATCGTGAGCTTGGACCAGCTTGGGAGTCGAAGAGCAGTTGCTAATCTTTTCGTCATTATCACCTGGACGAGTCAAAAAGCTTCTAAACTTCTGTCTCAAAGTTATCGCGTGTCCTGTGAAAGGTACAAAATGATAACATCAAAAGCTCCAGGCACAATGCAGGCTCAGCACTTCTTGATCTCCCAACGGGAACGATCGATCTACGACAGTTGTCGCTGTGATATCGGGCGATTTCGTGCGGAGCTGGCTTGGTTTCCTAGATCTCGACACATTCAGTTTCGATATATAGCCAACTTCTGTAAAGCATTAGTCACAAGTGTGATATGTTAGCGCACATAGAATGTTTGTAACCGGTTAATGATATTTACTGTTTCTTATGGAGCCTATTTGCCAAACGCAATCGATCGTGGAACTGCGTTTCAGTTCAGTGAAAATCAAACAGTTACGCCGGTTTGGAAGGTTTTATCTTTTACGTGTCTCAACGTCGAAAAGAAGCCCTACACGAATGCAGCTGTCTCTAATTGTTGGAATTACCTTTGGCTTCTGATTGATTTCAGATTTGCCGATTTCCGGATGATACGGATTTCCACATTTCTCTTTTCCGTATTTCCGGCTTTCAGTATTTCCGTTGTACTTGTAAACCTGCATTTGACCTTGCAGAGCCGGTTGAATAAAAGGTGTATTCGAGGTTGTAGCACTGAAATCTCAAATTTCTGATCCAAAATGAGACCTGCCTAGTTGATTTTCTGATTCTCGAGCAAACTTTCACCTCTGAACGGTTGTTTTACCGAGCTATTTAGCTCGAAACGTGACACAGTTTCACCTGTTTTGAGCTTAGGATTGTTAGCATGGGATTCAAAAATGGCCGCACACCAGCAGTTTCTAAAGCACATTTACTGGAATTTTATGGGGTCCGGCATCTCAGGGATTGGAATATGGCTCAATTTGTGAGTCAGTGCCAGTAATGAATTAGGTAAGCCGTACTTTTGACAAAATCTGCTTGAGATAGATCCGTTACGCTAAATCTGAAAATATCGTATCAGCTCGCATACGCGTTGATACAAACGGTCATAACTTTTAAAATACTGAAATCATACATGGCGTTTTGTTTATTATTAATAACAGATAGTCTATCTTTGCGTCCATTTAGTCTAGAGCTTTCAACTATGTCCCAAACGTCAGAAATAAGCTTTTAAAACAGGGTCATTTTTGGCCTTTCGCTCCAAGGCAATTAGTTGGAGTCATATTTTGCTCGATTTCGTCTTTCCAGCTAAATTTAGCGGATAACTATTGCTTTCGGGAAAAGCTAGAGATATTTACCTATTATCAGGTATAAAATTCATTGGTAGATGGTGCAAATGAAACATTTTACAGAGCCGCAAAAAATGCCAAATTTTCAGTTTTCAAGACGTGCAAAATGGCAGTGGCGGGACAAAATACTCGGCGCCCCCCAGCGCGGCCAGAAAATTATTGTGAATCAAAGCAAACCTACTTTAGTTATATTCTCGATAAAGCCTTTCACTTGCCAGAGTTTCAGGCAAAATTATTTTTCACGCGATATTGAGTGGGCGGTTTTTACTGAGACAGCCTTTTCCCAGTCAACAGACGTCGTAGTCGTGAACATCGTCGTGGTTCTTTAAGTTCCCTAATATCTATTTGACAATAGTTAGACAAACGATTAACGAAACCCTTTAAACTCATAACTCTTTTTCCTGAGATTCCCTTGATATTCACCGTCTCTTTGATCTGTGCATGTGGTCCATAATTTGATCCCAGTCCACACCTTTTTGCTCGGACGCGCTCGTTTCACCGCCCATCCTTTATCCGCCCCGATCTGTAGGTTGTGCTCATTTCCAAAATTAGCCGTAGGCTCTTTGCCGAATGAGAAGCCAGATAATGAGTACAATGTATAATAATAGGTCTTATTATATAAACACCAATGAAATACCAGGTGAGCTTTCGCGCGAAAATATGATATCTTCACACCTGAAAATAGTGAAAATATCACCGTTGCTATGGCTACATAATAAATCGTGCCTTTTGCAGGAAAAAACCGTTTCATTGAAATGGTTTGGTATTTCATCGGTGTTCATATAATAAAAAGAACATTACATGGCCGCTTGGAGATACGAAATTTCTCTTCTCGTGTTGAAAATATTTCACTCGTTCGCTGCGCTCACTCGTAGCTCACTCGTGAAATATTTTTCAACACTCGAAGAGAAATTTCCTATCTCCGCGCGGCCATGTAATATTCTCTATTTATCTTGTGATTTTCAAATGTACATTGGCGACGTAGCTACGCTTTTAGCTATAGATAGTTTTCACAGTGACGTCATCAAATCGTAAACTCAAAATAGCGATGTTTTACGAATTCTTATTTACACTAGTTTAAAGATCAACAAAAAGTAAATCTTTGTACCAGTTTCCATTCCCATAGCTTGTTTCATTTCGAAAATACAGCAATTTGAATTTCCGAGTTTTCACAGTGCGTGACACCAAAATAGGAATGCTGTCTTGTTGAATCTTAATTTTCAGCAGTATAACCATTTCAAGAAATGTTTATGCGCAAGTATGCTAGAGCTTTTATGGAAAACGTGAACCCCATATATTTTTGTTAATTTCAGGCGGCCATATTCGGGGCACCAATGTGGTGTCTCCATACAAAGCTCTACAAAGGGGCGTGAAACGTTTCGGTAAATAACTCAGAAACTATGGGCCACAAAGACCTGAGACTTGGACAAATTGTTCAAAAATTAGTGTTTTATAACATTTCATTTTCTTGGCTTCTTCCACCGGAAAGTTTCCAATTGAAATTTTTGTTGCGTGACAGGGAAAACGATCTATACTGTATTTATTCGATTAACCGCCCTGGGCGCTTACTAAATTTTTGGACCTTGACAGTGGGCGCTTATTCGAGGCTGGGCGCTTATTAAATTTTCACCATTTTCAGCAAGTGTAGTTATTTTGCAGCAAAACAATAATTCTAATAACAAAACGCGAAGAAGTAACCAAGCAAGGTTTCTGTAAAATACTCTGAAGAAAACTCCGTCCTCGGGGAAGTCTCTTATTAGAATTTATTCACTCAAGTGGGTGGGGTGGGGGTGAGCGCTTATTTGAGTTTGATTGGGAGGAGGAGGGGGTGGGCGCTTATTAACCTTTTCTGCCTTTAGGATGGGCTTATTCGAGGTTGGGCGCTTATTCGAATAAATACGGTAACTAGAGACCCCCCCCGGACGAAACATGTGCCCAAAGGTCAAGTTGTCGGCTAATCACCAAAAAAACTGGGAACCATTTCGGGGAACCTTCTTGGAATTACGAATGCATTGGCCAAGAGAGAAGCTTTTAGAGTGCCGTTTACGGCAAACGGCAAACGTCAGATTCAAGTTGATTCAAAATAGAAAACGTGCAGCTAAAAACAGTTCAAAAAAACTGGCCAGCGTGAAGCTACTAACTTTGGGGTAGGGCTTATGAACGGTAAAGGGCAAGTTAAAGGAGAAAATTGGTCACGTAATACAAATTCACGTTTGCCGTCTGCTGTAAACGTGACTCAAAGTCTCTCTAATCGATCATAACGTACGCCTTTTTTTAGAAAGAACTTTGAATCTGCTATTCTAATTAACTTCTTTTCATAAATCCATTCAGGGTTGTTAATAATTTTTTCAATCAGTTGTTTATAGTGATAACGGTTATGAACACAGTTTAAAAAGGAATAATGATAAAATAACGAGCAATGTGATGTAATCTAGTACATTAAAATTAAATGTATAAGCGGTGTCGGCAGATTATAATGGTGGATAAGAGGTTTGATGGTAAACCAAATGAAACGGGTTCAAGCCTGTAAGACTTTTTTTTTAATTTTTATGTAATTCAAAGTGAAAATGAGTCGAAAGTTTGGCTCTTCAATGATCAATCTGTATAATGAACAAGCTTATAGTCAGTGAAACAAAATCAAAAAATTACATCCGCGGTTGATAACATTTATTCTTGTTAACGTTTTTGCTAGAACTACACTGAATAACGATTTATAATTGTACTAACTATCGTTGAAATGAAACATACTTAGATGGTATTTCTCGCTTACTTAATGCCTTGCGCTTTAGTATCTTACCACACTTGTACTTCTATTTTCTGTATAGGTAGAGCCGCCTGTGCTCAGGAGCCCTCTCCCATCAACAAAAAATACTGGTTGTTTTTCAGTCCGAAGATTTTCTGATAGATCTCACCCAAGACTTAACGACAATATGCACAAAAGAACAATCTGCTCAGTTCATCTTCAATCATTTAGTTTATTTCTTTATCTTCACGGTGGCACATAATCCAGTATTTAACTTGGGAGACTCTTCCGGGCACACAGTAATTTTCAATTAATAACTCCTTTTGTGGGGTTAATTTAACTCCTTACAGTGGAGTTATTTTTTGGGGAGTTATTTTAACTCCAAAAGAGAGTTTAAAGAACTCTTTTTCAGGAGTAAGAATCACCCCAGATTTGGTGTTAATATTGAGGAGTTAAAATAATCCCAAAAAAGGAGATACTCCCGTACCTAAGATTTTTACTCCACTTTCAGAGTTAAAGTACGTAACTCCAAAAAGACCAAAAACAACCTATGTAAGGAGTAGAAATAACCCCATTTTTCTGAGTTATTTTAACTCCAGACTGGGAGTTAAAAGAACTCTTTTTCAGGAAGAAAAAATGATCCCAAATTTCGATTTAAATAAGAAGTTAAAGTAACCCCCAAAAAGGGTTTATCCTGTACCTAAATTTTTACTCCATTTTTGGAGTCATAATAACTCCCTAAAAAATTATTATAACAGCAACTTTCCCTAGTTTAAAATGGAGACCTCTTGGTGAACGATTTAAAAAGTTACAAATTATTAATATTTTTTCATAGGCCTCAACTATTATTATCATCATATTATTATCACCATCGTAGCGTGGCAAGTTCAAAGAGGATCTAACTCGGTTTATCCGTTATGGTCTTTAAAAAACTATTAGTGGTTAATTTTCGCCGTTACAGATGTAGCTGTAAAGCATGGTTAATCTTAATATTGCCATAATTTATTTAAAATTATGACAGATTATTAAAATTAATTAACCTTTAAATAGCGGTATTTAGCTAAAAATTAAGGCCGAAGTGGTAACCCTATTAAGAGGAATGTAGGAAATTGACCTTAATTAAGGTGTCGTCGAAATGAAATGAAACTCGTCATCCCTCAAAGCTTTGAGTTTCTAGTTACGGCGCATTAGAACTTATTAACTTAATGTAACATAGCAACTTATATATTTACGACATCCGCTGGGGGTCTTCGTAAGAAGCAACCTGTAAAACAAACGATAAAAAAAAGCCTTTACTTTGTGTTCAAATTGTACATTCCGACGTCCTCGGGGACCGAGGCAGCCCTAATCTGGACAGATCATTGCAGAAAGGTTGTTCACATAATGAACGCGCACTTAATTGTATAGAGCCAGATTCTGAAGCAAGAAGAAGAAGAGAAACAAGAACAAGAACAAGAACTCACTTTCCATAGTTGCATTAAATCCATCCTGAATGAAATAACTAGGCAAAGGACATGTACCATGGACATCTGTAAAGCAATTTACAGGCAAATGGTTTGAGTATATATAAGCTGCTAAGGGAAAACGTTTTAACTAATTAAAATCTTTTCTAAAACCAGCTGCAAAGAAAAAAACTAAGCCTTTGAAATAAACCGATCAATTGGCAACCTGTTTGACCTTGCTTGCATTTCCTTCTTTCTTTCTTTCTTTTTTTTTGGTTTTTGTAAGGATGATGTGACATGGTATTCCTGGGATCTCTCTGAGAGTTCATCCAGAAAACAACGTAAATCGAGTCTCGATTAGCATTCACTCATTCTTACCAGAATACATGATTTCCTGATCTCTAGTAAGTGCAAAACTCGGACCTTCAAAGTATCCAAACTCATTCTGTACGCCCTCTGGAAAATACATGTCCCAGTTCTCCAAATACCAAGGCTGAAACACATTAAATTAATAACATATAAGTTAGGCTGTATAGTACGTGCACTTCATGTAAAGTCTTGGGCGAGGTTTGTTGTGGCTGTCTCCAGGAGTTAAGGTGTTTCGATACAGTTTGCTTGAGTGGATTCATTTAAACTGAGAGCCTATATGTGTACACCATGGAGACTTCTATATAAAAGTGACGGGAATGCTCGTCGGAAAGTTAGATATTAATCCCCTAAGAGATACCAATGTGTGTGTGGCTCAAGCGTAAAATGACCCCAAAAGGAGACCATCACAGTAAAACAGACATCACGGCTTTTTTTGTAAAATTCTTTACGCAAAGCTCTAATCGATAGCTTAATGGGAAAATATAGTGACTTTCTGTCCCAAACACCCTAAGTGAGGCCACAATCTGCAATTTACACCCCCGCCCCTTTAAGGCTAGACGAAGAGCATCCCCGTCACTATTATTATATGGGAGTCCCCCCTGGGATGTGACGAACAGTTGTCAAAGCCTTCGATCCTTCAAAAACTAGGTGGAACTCGGCTAACCATTAATTTATGCTTTCATTTGAAAGCCGCCGCACTCTCAGCCTATAATTCCACAAAACCCAGCACAACCATTATACCCAGAATAAAGCCTCTAGATTACAGCACGCAAGAGACAATACACGCTAAAAACTTAACATTTTCTTGCTGGGATATTCATGGTTGATCATGCCATAAAGTAATTTTAAAACACGTGATGGCTCAGGCGTTTCAAACTTTACCTCAGACGTGTTTTGATTAATATCCCATTCACTCATGCCAGGGTGACGCCAGTGAGGATAGTCTGGAACAAGCTGTTCTCCTTTTAAATTTAGTCCAGAAACGGTTGTCTCTATAGAGATGCTTGACTCGGATGAAGACCTTCTTCTCCCAGCTGACCCACGAGGCTGGCCGCGCTTTGAAGAAGAATTTCCTTCTGGAAAGTGAAAATGTGCGTGCAAACAATGGTTAAACAAAAATGTCGGTACAAAACCACATCTTGAGAATAACTTAATTTAATAATTATGACATCAATACGACTTCAAAATTTGTTGGCACGGGGAGATAAGGAAGCGAAGAACTTTGTTAATGTAGCGGTCAGTAGATCATTCAACGCGATAAATTCGACTAATATGTAGGGATTAACACCCAAAGATAAATCGTAAGATAATGCTGAGACTATTTATTTAGAAAATAAAATGATAATACAATATGTTTTTTTCTTTTTTTTAATAATGATTATATTACGATACAATGTCTAATTGCGATGTAGCACTGTTTGTCTGGAACCGAATTTCTGTAGCAGGCACCCAAGTTTTTGGCGACGCGGCATATGTACGTTTTTAACTTTAATTTTTATTTTATTTTTTTATTTTTCATTAATTTGCTTTGTACACATTACTTTTTGGCATAAGAACTACCTTTCTTCAATGATTCATTTTTAGTTTCGCTGGAGGCTTAAACAACAAGCTGGTCAGTGAAGAAAATGCAACCTTTCCTTCACATTTGAATTTGAATATTGGTTGACGTAAAGAAAACGATAGAGTAATTTACTATCATCAATAAATGTACTAAATTTCGAAACACTTGATAAATCAAGGATGGTTACGTTAAAGACAAGATCCGTCATGTTTATTAGCGTCCTATATCGATCTAACTAATATTGTAAGACAGAGTACCGTGGGGAAAATAAAAACATTGCATGTTAACTGAATCTCAGTTCTAAGACGAAGGGGAAAGGAAATGAAGCCGACTCTTTTTTTCTTTCTTTTTTTTCAAGGACGTACAAGTCCGCAATTGAAGTCAAAACTAAACTCAGTCATTTGGGATGATTCCAGCTGAGAAAACTCTAAGAAAATTGTTGTGAAATCTTAAATTAGTTGGCTACAGTTTCCACTGTAACCATTTATACACTGTGCTCATGTTGTTTGAAAAACGTTATTTAATAGATAACAATTTTTTAAAAAAAAAGTTTTTTAGGGAAGACTCTCGGATACTCAGTGATAACCTTAAATTAACCTTTCAAAATCTCCGTCCTATCTCTAGTCCACAAGGTTTCGAAAAAGAAAATAGAAATCAGTTCTGGTAAACAATAATTCTGCAGCTCTGACCGAGCATCTCGAAGGGTGCAAACGAAGTTCAAATTAGGTAAACACTGAAAATAGCTTTAGCGCAGTAAAGCAGACCGACGGAGACAAGGAACTAAAAATGACAGTCAATTCAAAGAATGAAGTTTTGCGGATCAACTGAAGGTACGATTGTCAATGTCAAAATAAAAGTTATTATTCCCATTTCCTGTGGACCTTTTAATCTAGCTGATATAACCTCACCTCGCGAGTTCAGGTCCTTCGCTCAGATCACGGAAAGATCTCTACTCCATCGTAGAGTTCAAGGCTAACATTAGAAACTATGAGCGGACACCTTAGAACTTTTTATGGTTGCAAAGGCCATCGAACATTGGTTTTCTCAGGAGATCGTTAATAGAAGAATACCTTGATACAGAATTAAATAAGTTTAAAAAAAAAACCTCTTCTGAGGTGAAAAATGAACGATTTGCTTCAGCTTCGTCATTAATGCACCTTTCTTTTAGGATAAAAAAATGATTGATGTATCTAATTTTTCTGGCCAGATTTCAGTAGCTTGGCAGTATATACAATACGGCCACCGGATCTTAATCATGCAAAACTGTCGTTCTCATCAATTCACTCTCTTATAACACCAGTATTGCTTTGTCTCTAGACGACCACGAATTATGCCAAATATTCAATTGATGTTATTTTTTTTATCCTTAGGGACGAAAAAGAACAGTCATGTCTTCATATACACAGTGTGTTGTTCAACAAATTAGTGGTGCGCGATATTGTACAGAAACGTGAACAGAGAACCAAAAGCCACATCTCTCACGGATAAGTTTATTTAACCCTACTTGTGCAGGAATCCGACGAAAGAATCTACCCAAAAACTTTCCTCATTGAAGACAATGAATCACCTTGGATAATGAACAATGCACTGGAATTTAGCAAAACAAAACATCTACAATGATAAAGTGAATTTCAAAACAGAAAAGTCTAGGTAAACACGTGTTGCTAGATAAAAGAATAAATGACGACAGGAGCCTATTCAAGGAGTTACTGAATTTCATGGGGTGCTTTTCACGATTTCTAGAACTTCCGGCGAACATTCCTAGATATAGGCATCTTTGTTTTTACAATCCACTCGTTTTAGACGTCCACTAAGCGCAATCTCAGCATTTCTCAAGTCATACATCCCAGCCTATAAATTCAGTTACGTGATTCCCATCTTTAAAAGTTATTATCAGCAAATTCCACTGTTTAGGTGGTCCTTAGATACGAGACATTAAAGTTAATTATCGTTAAAAGGATTGGAGCTGGGCGATGACGTGTTGTTGTGCGGAACAAGGAGGTGAAAATCGGATTATGGCTAATTAAATACACTTTGTTGAAGCTTTTAAAAAGGCACATATGGCAAATAACCTTTGCTATCGTTACCTAACGTTTTGAATCAACAGTTTGGCACGCGGTTTTTGAAAAAGTTCTAAACACTCATTTTTTTTTTCTGACTCTTAAAATAAATATTAGGCAGATACATTAAAAACAGGAAAGAAAGAAAAGCAGACCAAAAATAATTGATGGAAACTGGCAAAAGGCATACAACACTGTCTCCCCATTCTAAAGAAACAGGCCCTGGTAATTATAGATCCCCATGCTCGGGCTATTGTATTCTTCACTGAATTAGTGATTATAACATCCGGCCTTCCATCCCCCCACGTGCCGAATCTATCCACCCCTTGTCTAGCTATCATCACTGCTCGTGTTTTTATTTTCAAAGATAAATTTCGGTTCTTTTGCGGCTCTTTTACGAACAGTTTAAAACATACTTATTGAAGTAAATAAAACACTATTTTAAATCTACACTCCGGAATTCAAGAATTGGGACACACGCGTATCGAGGTAGCGAAAAGAAAGGCTTTGTTGTCTAACGCTGCGGTTTGCAAGGTTGGCGACCTTAAACACACTATTTCAACGCAGATAACTCTTAGTGGTAAACATGTACAAACATATGGGTTTTTCTATGCAGTTTTTTGTTAGTGAGAAAAAGCAATGAAGAAGCTCATACAGTTTTTCAAGACTTACGTTCCTTACCCCTTTTTTCGCCCCCTTTTTTAATTCTTTATTTAATTCTTATATAATACAATTACATGACACTTAATATAGCCGCCTCAAAAGAAAATCGACGCCATGGATTCGAATAAGGAACTAAGATCAAAAAGTGAGAGGAAGTTTTAAACAATAAAGGAAGACTTTTTGTTCCTCTTGTGTTTAACTATTTACTTGAGTGTTTGGCAATCTTAATTTCCGCATCAAGAAAGGCCACTTTTTTTCTTCTATTTTAATCCCAACTTCTAATACCGCTTCGACCTCGTAACCGCCGCATTTGACCGAAAATGGCAAACATATCATCACATCTTATTCTCTGTGTTTATCCCAGACCATTTTTCGCTCTTGGCTTAAACCATAGATGCCTTTTTCCCCGGTTTTATTCGCTTTGTTTACCAATTTCCTTCAAAAGGTTTCTAGCGCATTGCTTGATCACTTGTCTGAATAGTAATGACAAGCTATAAAAAGTTCAGGTACCAGTTACGTTTGGACTTGATAAGGTACACTGCGATGCTTGTATATAATAACAAATTACTCTACCCATCAATTAACCTGCAAGTGAGTTTCACAAAGGTCTACGTATCTAGCTGGTCTTTTCACTGATAAAAGATCTTTTCTTTTTAAGAGCACATGGTGGCAAGTTACAGCCGGTTTTGTATACGAAAAAAAGGTTTGCAAAAGCTCAGGCGAAATAACATCAAACAGACCTGCAATCAGAACAAATACGTTACACGGAAAATAAAACATAGAAAAAAAACTCGGAGCAAGATATTTTGCACGCAAATTTGGCATAAATTTCTGTCTTTACCTTTCAGTTTCGGCTCAAACTTGAAAACCCTGTACGGTCTAGTTCCTTCTAGATTTCCCATTCGCTTTATTTCAACGATCTCTTGCATCTTTCGAAGAGCACAGCGAAATCTCGTCTTCCAGGTGGATGGGTCTGGTTGGTCTCCGGGGCGATACTTCCCTGTGTGGCTTGCCCATCGTTTGAACAATTCTGCATGGGTTTCAAGTTCGAATTCGGGCTTATCAACCCGCACCCAAGGAACCTTGAAGATCCCTATATCTTTATCGATCCACTCTAAGCCATCGATATCTCCACTTTCGATCTGCTGCTCCAGCCAAGGCGTAAACCGCTGCCGCTGTTTCGCCACTCCACGAACGAAGGATCGATCTTGTTCTAAGGATGAAACTTGCGACTTGGATAGCATTTTCCTATAAATCTTGCAGTTTCGTGCGATTGTCGAGTTATTTCTGAAATACCACTCAGTTCAAACTTTACTCTTCTAATCGCCTTTCGCTTTCTTGCTTGGAACTTTCACTGCGGGATGAGCTGACGGATATAGCCACTTTTGAAACGCAGGAGCCAGCATTGAGCTTCTAGATTTGGAACTTGTTTTAAGGACGAATTTTTTTTGTTCGGTTGCCCTTTTAAAGTTAACGCCCATGTATGTCATAAACACCGCTATATAAGACCCTAACATGTGATTGGTCGCTGCAAATCGAGGTCGGTAATTCAGTGTGAGGAACTAATTTCATACATACGAAAGAAACACAAAATAAACTTCCGTATAAGATAACTAATGAGCGACAGTGATAAGTCAGTCATGTATTCAGTGGCGAGATCACAGCATTCTCGCCACTGGTTTTATCATATTGACTTCTTCTCCATTAATTTGCCATCCCAGGCCATGTTCAGTTAATTCATGAATGGGTTAAAGCACACGCCAGTGTTGTGTTTTCTAAATTTATCTGTCATCATCATCTCCAAGAATTAATATGCTTATTGAAAGTCAAATCACGAAACATGTTGTGAGATTTAATCGTATGGATCAATCAATCGATCGATTTTAATAGGTCTGGCTTCACTTCCCACATCGATTTCATCGTACTAAGGTTAAAAGCGTCGGGCCATAAAAACTTCGCTTTAGCAATACGAAAGCATAATGCATAATTCATATCACAAAAAACACTTTATTGAAGTCTTCCTCATTCTTTAATTATTCGGCTTGTAAATCTGTAGCCGATCGCTTGCACGTTGGCTTTATTAAATGTTGGTAAATTAGCTTTCTTTCTTCATATTGAACTCACCTTAAGTATCAATAGTCTCAGAATGAAAGCCTACGGAGATCGATTCTATCAAAAGGACTATGTGACGAGGCCTGATATTGCTGTTAGTTTAAGATCAGTATGTGCTAAAGAATTCAATTGATGAAGACACGTTTTTGCTTTTTTAAAGATAGCAGATCGCGTCACATAACTTCTTTTAGCGAAGTAAAAACACAAAGCAATGGCAAACTCCCTCCAGTGGGAGCGGACGGGGGGGGGGGGGAGGGAGGGGTGGCTGACTAGTGCATGTGCGCCTTCACTGAGAATGTATACACACCTCGGAGAGAGAGATTTCATGTTATTCTGGCAAGGACTCCATTGGCTTTTGTAGGGTTGAAATGATTGCAGTTTTTTGAGCACGCATCTGATTTCCGAAGTTCATCATGCAGAATGTTTCTTAATAACTACCATAAAAGGAACGGGAACTGAACCAAACCAAAGAACGCATGATCCAGTTTTTACACCCCCCATGTCCTGTAGAGACTATAGCTAAATTCACCCGCAGGCTGCTTCTAGAATCGTAGGCTTGCAGATTAGTGACTTTCCAAAGCGATTAAGGTGCAAAAATCATATTTTCACATAATAGAAATAGGAATGAAATTGGCTTGTATACCAAAACGATTTCTAATTACCATAGCTACTCAGTTAGGCTACACGTTTACGTCACTACCGATGCACTTAATTGCGCAGAAAGAGAAAATCGTAATGACGATATCGAATTGAGTTGAGAGAAGGTAAATTGACCAGATCTCCTGAAGACGTTTTCAGTTTCATCCTTTTGTTGAACTTAAGATCCTTGAATTTCATGAGCGTGCCAATTTTCTACAATTCACTGATTTCGTTCATTTTTCTGTGACACCTAATTTCAATTAATTGGTGCAGTCCTGTTCAAAATAGACGTAGATCATGTAACAGCTGCGATGCAGTCCAAGATATCTTTCAATTTCCTCCGCTTTTGTTCAAACAAGGAAGAAGAAAATGAAAGCTTAGTCTGAATAATCCTCCTAACCTAATCAATATCCCCTGTGGTGCAAGAATTCCGCTCCAAATTACTTGCCTTTTGTATGAGCTTGCGAAGTCTTTCAACAAGGAAATTTGTGAGTCCTGAAAAGTGAGCAACAGTTCGGAAATTGAAATAGAATAGCGTCGTATACTTCATTGTCACCGGAGAAAATTGTATGGAGAGCTTGCAAGGGGAAAAAACAAGTAAGCTCGACTTGTACCTTCATGCAGCTAATAGTTTGTCTTTTATTAAGATTATTCTTCTTCCGCTAGTAATTGTAAATTGACCATCAACGACTCACTTTAGAAAGGTGGTTTACTAACTTATTACCACTGAATCGCGGTCAACAGTTACCCACACCGTACAAAGGACTTGTTGACGGAATCAAGCAAAACTAACTACGAGAGAAAGACTGGACAACTGACAATTTAACCAAAAATAAATGACTATTTAACTGTGACAATAGGCTGATGGAAACGCACAAATGACATTACGAGTCTTCATAGCTAATAACATTATGCCTTTACTGACAGACGACTAGCAACATTGCGACTTAATTGACCAATTAATCAGGTCAATAACCAGAGTTTAACACCATCAACTGACGTGATACAACTCACTTTGACCCTGGAGATGACTACTACACAGGTTGTCGAAACGTCAGTCACTGTCAACAACAATAGCTCTATATTTAGGACTATATTATCCCGATTTTAGATTTTTTATTTATTGCACTATTTCAATAGTTTACTAAAAAAAAATTGTGATCATACTAAACATACTTCTAAACATATAGTTAAGAATACTTAATTATGTGATTAATTCCTTTTTTACCTCATATTCTTACCCTCATTATAATTTTTACTAATTGTTTTTGAACGGCGGCGTCGTTTTCATTCATGTCATTTCACGCTTTTAACCCTTTGGAAATATCTAAAATAAAGGGCTAATAAAATTGTGAATGTCTCAGTATGATTATAATAAACACAATACCACATGGAAAGTTCTTTGTATGGTATTTACGCTCTCTTTTTTGTAGCAGAAATCTCACTCTTTGGCTGCGTAAACTCGTTCGATTTCTGATACGTCTGATACATAAGCACGCCAAAAGTCGCCGGGGTAATGAGCCCCGCCCTGACCACTTAGTTAAAAGACCCAAGAAACATTCTAGTGACCTACTGAAAGCTAAGTGAATAGACAGACAAAGGACCTGGAGTACCCCCACGACAATGATGGCGCCCTATAGAATGAAACAAAAGGGCCAGGCAGCGACCCGCAGGGGCACGGCCCAGAAAGTATTCTATATATATTGGCTTACGCCTAAATTTATTTTTGCATTTTGGGGTTTTACCTGCCAGAAGCCGTACGGCACCCGATTTAAGGGGACACCTTGAAAAACTCTACAATCAAAGAAAGACTGCCCGCCGCTGGAAGAGCAGTTGGGGAGCTACAGTTTTTGTGTGATGTGGGCGAAAACCTTGCTGACTGTTTAGCTTTTTAAAAGAAAAGGACCAGGAAAAAGGGAAATAATGGCGGAGACAAAGGCAGAAGAGATATTGGGGAACAGGGTACAACCATAATATTTATTTATTATTATTTATTTTTCATCCATTCATTTATTTCTAAAGAAAATATGGGCTGAAGCAATACAGCTGTGTATATTGTTAAGCCTTATGTCTTAGTTCAAAATGCTTTTAAGCTGATCAATAAGATTGTTAAGTGTATACGGACTTTCATCAACAGAAGACAAAAGAGGACTGATTCTCTGTGGAGAAGGTCATTGTAGCAAGCCGATAGGATCTCTTTTTATAAACAGCATGCTCTTAGACAGAGACGAAAAAACAGGACGACCTATTTACCTGTTACACTAGCTACAACTTCGTCTGCATGTCAGTAACGTGGGAAATCTAACGTTTCAGAATACTTCTGATCATTATGTCAGCTTTTGTGACTACATCATGTATAACGTAATTTATCTTAATAGGTAAGAATCGGAGTATGCTCTCTGTGAGAGGGTAAAACCCCTTTCAAGTGATCCAGCCGTCCGAACGATTAAATGTTGTGACATCGACCTTTATTATAAAAGTATATCGTCCAAATGAAACTCGTCGTTATCTCTCAAACCTTTACCAGTATAAAATGTCAAGGAATTATTTGGCGCCTGAATAGACATCTGACTGAGGGGATGCGTTAAGGCACGACCTGCAAAGGAAACAACTAACCATTACTCTCCGTTCAAATACATTCAAGGGGTGTAGAACCGGATGCGTCCTTGCGACCAAGAAGAAGCAAATAGTAAAATACTAAAGGACGGCTTATCGTTTAAAAGATAGTGAGTTTCAGTCAGACGAGGAGAGAGAGATGTGAAGAAAATATTTACGATCAAACGACTTACTTTTGATTTGGATGCAGCATAACAGGGGCTGGAAAAGCTTTCTCGAAAATACAGTGCGGAATTCGGGAAACTCTACGGGATAAGGGATTTGACTGCTACCAGGGAGGTGGGATTCGCCAAACTTTGGAATACGGGATTGGGAAAGAAAATGAGTATTCAGGATAGCGATGAAAGAAGTTCGGGATGCGGGATTGTCGTGTTCAGTAGGAGCCGAAATACGAGATCAGTACCCCCCCCCCCTTTCTAGATCCTAGCAAACGGGTGATTGAATATAATAACGATTAAATTTATCTTGTGTGATCATGTGCTTAATTCTCGTCACCAATCTGTGTTATAAGGCATTCAGATATTACAAGGAAAGAAGGAGAATTTTCATTAGTACTGATTACTCTTAGGGCTTGTAAGGGTTTATAAGTACTATAACGCGTATGGGTTATTAAAGAGAGTGATGTTATCATCTGAATTTCTTCAATAACTGGTTTCCATACACAATTGAGCAAGTAACCTCTCTCTACTAGAAAGTCGAACAAATTTTCTCTCAAATACCAAAGTATTTTCTATTCGAATTCAGGATTCCAATATTTTTTAAAAATATGTTTTCGTACGGATGGGCTGTGTTTGATATCCTCGCGCCTGTTTTGAAGTTTTTTAAATTAAATTCTTATGCTTACCGGAAAAAAAGCTTTGCTAACCCTTAAGTGCAAAACTTGGGCATTAAAAGTATCCAAACTCATTCCGCACGTTCTGTGGAAAATACATGTCCCAGTTCTCCATACAACATGGCTGAAAAAAAAAATTATTATAGCGTTATTAGAATTGAAGTCGTGTACGAAACGGTGCGTGTGTGGTAGCGCCTGTGTCAGGCTGACATAAAAAAGTTTGTGGTTACTCGTCGTAAACGCTGGGGGAAGATTTCAGTTAGGTCTCCCCTAGGAGTTAAGAAACGCACCCAGATTGGCCTCCTTTAGGCCGCTATAAATCATATTTTTCCAACGAGCTTCTCCGTCTCTTTCATGTGAAGGTCCCTCCCTACCTTTTGTAGATCCACCGGGTACCGCAAGGTTACAACTTCTCAATTACGTTTGACGCTAGCAATGAGATAGCACGCCATGCCTGAGGCGTGTCTACTACATGTAGTTATACCTCTGTGTTCTGCGTATCCCATTCACTCACGCCCGCATAACTCAAGTAATGGTTTGGAACAAGATACTCTTCTAATCCCGAAACTGTCTCGTTCAAGGACAGGTTTGTCTCTGATGTAAAACACCGTCTTCTCCTACGCCTTGCAGAATTTCCTTTTGAAAAGTGAAAGAATCGAAAGTTAAAAAATGCATGTGTAAACAATGGTTAAACAATAATGACGGTGCAAAACCACGTCTAGAGAACAAGTTAATTCAATTATTATGACATCAATATGACTTCAAAGTTCAAGTTGTTGGCACAGAGATAAGGAAGCAACGAATTCAGTTGATGTTGTTGACCACTCGATAACAGAGGATCGATATCATTCAACGCATTAAATTCGATTAATATCTGAGGCATTAACACCCAAAGATAAACCGAAAGTTTATGTGACGCTATTTATTTTGGAAAGAAAATGATAATACAATACGTTTGAAAACTAGCACCTAAATTACCATATAGATGTTCGATAAGTTAAATTCGCGATATAGCTCTGCTCATCTTGAGAACCGCATTTCATGCAACTGACACACAGTTTAAATTTGCCGTGCATGTTACTTTTTCTGTTTCTTTTTGTTAATTTGTTTTATCAGCATCAAATTAAATTGTTTGGCTGAAAACATTGCGAAAAAAAACTTTCCTTGAAGAAATCACTTTCAGGTTTGTTAAGGAAATGTTCGTTGAAGAGTCTTCAACTTCACTGTCCCCTGTCCAAATATCTCCATTAATGCAAAAAGAAACGTGAAATTTCACCTTCAAGAAATGCACTAAGTTTGGAAAGACAAGAAGTATAAAAATATTCTTAAATTTTGATGGTGTTGTGTCAAAAAGCATTTATATTTGGAAGCCTGACTACTATGTTGACCCAAAATACATCGTCCTACTTAATGCGGATCCGGGGGGGGGATATGGCCGACTACCGTTGTGAGGACCGACCTTCAACTCTGCTCAGCAATTCGCATCAATCTCCGTTAGAAGAGTAAAGACACAGAAATATAAATGTGGGACCTAAAATCAAGGCAAGGGCTCACTCCCTGTTGACGTAAGTCGCAATGGCTCAAAATCACCTGCTTATAAGTTTCTTCTCATTTTTCGAACAGCTCTTAAGTTTGAAAACATCTTAAATGATTTAAAAGGCATAATTTCCGACTCTGATGGACGCAAAAAGCTTAGTCCATCAAAAACCCTTGTAGCGACAAAATTGAGGCAGTCAATATTAAAATAAATTAAAGTTAATGTGTTGTTCAGGTTCTGTCACGGATGGTCTAACCTTTATATCCCGGCTGCGTGTTCATCATTCTTCGATAGAACTAAGTCACGGCAAATGGGCTTCTACTTGCGGAGTAACGAGTCACCTGAATTTTGCTCCTGATTGAAACTGGGATAAATTTGCTCGTATAGCATACACTGGCTCAACTCGTTATTGTTTCATTTCTTTTTCCGGATTTTTCCGAACGGGAATTAATGTATTAAAGCCGATGCCGATCTCTTTTTGGTGACTAGTCTGAGGGCTTTGTCTTTGGACCACCACGAACTATGTCAAAAATTATCTTAATTTTATTCTTTTATCCTTTGGAACAAAAAAAAGAACATGTTCCTGATACTGAAGTGAGTTTTATCAGTGGTTCAGTTAGATATACTGGTCCAAAAACGTTCGCAGACGAAAAACTACCTTCTATTTCTGAGAAGTTCATGATATCTTACCGTCGTGCAGCAATCGAAAAAAAGCTTCCCCAAAATGTCTTTAACGGACAGTAAATTTTGGAAAATGAACAGTTCATTAAAGTCAAACAAAACAAAACGCAGTCAATTATTAAGTCAATTTCAAAACAAAATAGTCTGGTGGTAAACACGTGTTTCCAGATAAAAGAATGAATAGCAACAGGAAACTATTCAATGAATTACGGAATTACATGAGATGCTTTCAACTTCCTGGGAACGTTCTTGAGTTTTTCCAATGCTACCAACAGCACTATGCGATCTAACCATTTTTAAGACATACAACCCAATCTATAAATTCAGTTAAGCCATTCCCATCGTTAAAAGTTATTATCAGCAAATACCACTGCTCAGGTGGTCTGAAGATAAGCGGCATAGACGCAAATCATCGGGATTTGAGCTTGGCGATGACATGTCACGGTTGTGCAGAACGAGGTGAAAATTGGATTATGGTTAATTAAATACACTTTGTTAACGCTTTTAAATTAGCGAATGAGGGAAATAACCTTTGGTATCATCACCTGTCTATAACGCTCTGACTCGATGCCTCGACACGAGTTTTTAAAACTCTCTAGATTGGAATGAAACAACTTCTAACTGCTCAGAAACTGGCAAAAGGTAAACATAAACTAAAGCAACGTAGCAGTCTTTGGCAATGGTTAAGAAACTAGCCATCCCAGACATACCGCGACAATTAGATTCCTCACCGTATATCTAGTGATTATGATATCCGGTCCTTTGTCCCCCACGTACCGATGTTATTTTAAATACTTAATAACCCCTCGTCTAGCTATCATCGCTGCTCGTGTTTTTATTTTCAAAAGATGATTTTTGGGATTTTTGCTTCTAAATCATCCGTACTGTTCTAAACATACTTAATGAAGTACATAAAGAACTGTTTCTATTCTCTCAAATTCGTGATTTGTCGTCGACAAAGGATGCAAAAAAGGCTGCGAGATATTGTGCTAACATTATGGGTTGCGGGCTTCTCCTAAAATGTTTTACAGTTGGTTATTCTCTCTTGTTAAGGATTAGTTATAGAGGCGAAACCAATGGATTGCACGCAACTTAGGTATCCCGCTATTGAACAGTTGCTACTTATAGATATTTCGAGCGACAAAAATTTGCCGTCTGTCCTCTATCTTCGCTATACCAGCCTGGTCCTTCGCACTGAGGCGACCCGTAGGCACAAAGTTCAAAGCAACTGCTATTTTCGTGCTGAAAAAACGGAACTAAGAAAGAGAAGGAACAAAGACAGAAACATGCAGGTACCGCTCTCTTCGTCATGGTTAGATGACAGAGGGAAAATATAAAGAAAAAATGTTTCCATTAGCGTGTTTAGATTCAATTAATTACATTCCAGTTAGTACTCCTAAAGAAATTTGATGCTTCACCGAAAAGAAACATCAATAACAGGGGAAGTTGTTAGTTTAAAATAAAGGAGCAGTTTTTGTTCCTCTTCACTTTAAAATATTCGCTTAAGTGCAATTTCCGCATAAAGATTTTTAAATCTTTACGCGAAAAAAGTGTCTTAAAAAGACACTTTTTCAGTTTTAACTTCTTTAATTCAAAGGCCGCTTGGCCTCCTACCCGCCGCGGTATTTGGCACAACATAACAAATTTTACAATAAACTTGAAGAGCATTGTTTGGTCACTTGTTGCTTCCATTAAACCCGACTGTTGCCAGTAGCTTTAAGACACAGCGGATCGAGAACTGAGATCAAGCTAAAAGATACCTGACTTTGTAATGGCAAGTAATAAATGAAAAAGTCATTTTAATCAATGAATTTAACAAAGCCTAATGTGTATTAACGTAGTCGGTCTTCTTACTATATGAAGATCTTGTCTCTTTAAGATCACATGCCTTTGCCAATGAATTCATCTACTAATACTGAGGTTTTTTTGTACGAACAGTAACTTCACCAAAAGACGGGCTCATTTATGCAGTCAAAATGACCTGAACTTTCAAAATAGCAACGTAACACGGAAAACAACTGCCAAGGGCAAGTTAATTTACACGGGTGCATTTGTCATAAATACTAATACTCCTTACCTTTCCGTTTTGGCTCAAACTTAAAAACTCTGTACGGTTTAGGTCCTTCCAAATGTCTAATTTCCACGATATCCGACATCTTTTGCAGAGCACAGCGAAACCTCGTCTTCCACGTCGAGGGATCTGGCTGGTCGCCTGGGCGATATTTCCCTGTGTGGCTTGCATAGCGTTTGAACAATTCTGCATGGGTTTCGAGCTTGAATTGGGGATTATCAACTCGCACCCAAATAATTTTAAAGATCCCGAGGTCTTTATCGATCCACTCTACGCCACAGATATCTCCACTTTCGATCTGCTCCTTAAGCCAAGGCGTAAAGTGCAGCCGCTGTGGATGTTTCGACCCTTTACGCGTTCGTTCCGGGGATGAAACTCGCAACTTAGATCGCATTTTCACTATAAATCTTTCACTTTCGTGCGATAATCAAGTTATTTTAGAAATACAGTTAGGTACAAACTAAACTATTCTGATCGTCTTTCGCTTTCTTACCGTTGACACCCTCACTGCTAGATGAGCTGACGAACAGAGCTGTAGGAGTCCAGATGAGGACATTTTAAGGCCAAAGATTTTCTGCTGAGTTGTCCCTTTTTAAGTTAACGCCCATGCCATAAACACTGCTACATAAGACCCTCATTGATTGGTCATTGCAAATCAAGGAAGAATCAATCAGTTCGGCAAAGAGTGACAAAATAAACTTCCTTTTCAGATAACTATAGGCTTCCGCAACGGCAACTATTCTACTCAAAATTCCGGGTCTACTAAAAGCACCAGTCAAGATAAAATTTGGTGCCTCAAGCAAAAGATTTCAAAGGATCTACTTTGAGAGTCTGTCAGTTAATAAATAAAGGAATGAGAAACTGGATAGTCGTTTCTTGGCGAAATCACAGGATTAAATAATCGCTGGTCAGTTTATATTTGCTTTTATTGATTTCGTCTCCATTAATTTGCGATTGGGAATGGGTTAAACACGCTCGTTTTCCACTGTTTGTTATCGTCATCGCGAAACAATTTATTGTACTTTAATCAAATCGAAACATCTGCACGGCACACGTTGTAATTACTTGAATCAATCGGCTTGGTTCTGCATGAGAAAATACAGATTAAGGTCTTGCTTTGTTTCGATTCCAACTTAACTGGCAGCTCAGTTCCCCCGTTAACTTCCCATAGTTAGCTCGACCTCGCCACGAGGTCGCACAAAGTGGGAGAAATAATCCTGATCTCTAAAGACTGGGTACACTCAGCGGAATGCATCGATAGCATGAGAAAATCTAAATGTAAGCGAAAGAATAAAGGAAAAAATGAAAATGAAATTAAATGAAAAAACCTATCGGTGGCTGTGAAATCGTCACTTAATCCTTAAATTTCTCTGTTATTGCCTCTTTTGATTCGGATTCTAAGTATTTTCATTAGTGTTGGTAGAATTTGTAAACATAATTTTTGTACTTTATTGGTCACTTTTCATAGACCTTACGTTATACAGGGTGTATTTGAATACGGCTCTCGTGTAAGGAAGTTTTCAACTTATCGAAACTACCGTATTGAAATAAAACTGATTGATTGATTGAGATAGATAGATAGCTTTATTAAGAAGTAAAATCATTGCAGCCCGCGGGCCGGCTGAAATGTGACTTACTTTACAATGGAACTAAAAAATTATCTATAAATATATGATAACTACTACAAAAACCGTAAAATATAACCTACAATAAAATACAAAAGAAGAAGTATCAATACCAAAATACTAATAATCAAGATTACTACTAACAATTAAAACTGTTCGCCATAATAAAAGTGTTTTTAAACCTATTTGTCTTAAAAATCGGTAGTTTGAAGTATCTCTGGTTACGGGTACAATAAGTGGACCCGTTGCGTGGCGGTAGCAGATCATGGAGCTTGTGGCTTTGGTCCCTTACAGTTTGGTCAAATATAGCATTACTCAAGGCCGGGCGGGGGGCGGGGGGGGGTGGGGGGGAAGAGACGAGGTCTGGGACCGAGAAACGATGTTCTCACAACTTGCAAAGCGGTCACTCAGCGTGGTGGTCAGCAGATAATTACAGTATTTTTCCCACAGGAAATATTTTTAGACTTTTTAGAAGCAAGAAGTGAACCGGCAGAGGAAATCAGAAATGCTTAAAAAATTGAAAAAAAATCATATCATGATCTTTGTTTTTCTTGCATATCGTATTTGTCTTTCGGTACTGAAATGCGGGGGAAACTAAAACGCAACCAACAACAACGCGCTCGATGGATTTATTTATAGGTTACATCGTTTTTGCCGGGCAAGGATAACTTGATGCTAATAAAAATTACTGGAGCAAGTGTCAGATTTATCGGAAGCAAGTATATTCAAGAGAGCTTTATAAATATGAGCTTACTGCTCTACATATCATAACTGAATAAAAATCAACACTTTAATTCATAACATTTCACTTCGTTTATTTGGATCAGTCAACAACTTGGATCCAAAGTTAAAATTCAAAACGATCCTAAAACAAATCACAACTACTACTGAAAGCTCTGTACCTTGAAGCGACTTAAAACTTTCCTGAGGTTTGGAGCAAAACACTGCTCGATAGCTCAACTCTTCGGCGGTTCTTATCAGCTGTTCCGAGCTATATCTTGCATATTCCAAACTCTGCAAAGGAAAATTGTTTAACAGGAAAAGAAAACCACACGCTATGTATGAAAAGCGACATAAAATCAATAAATTTGCGAATTACCAAAATATAATAGTGAGAAACTGTTCCGCCTTCGACTGCCATGTTTTCGTTTTTTCTCAAGACCGTTGATCTATGGTTTTTGACGTACTGCGCATGATCAGTACACAAATCCGCTGGCAAGCCCCTTGCTGATGGCTTTGCAAGTTGCGAGAACATCGTTTGGATTTCATTTAAGGGAATGTATGAAAAGGAGTCCCCCCCGCTCAAGGCCTTCCTCCTAACCTTTCCATTTCATTAGACAGATATTGCGGCAAAGAATGATGAAAAACTAGGCACGCATATTGTAATACAGGGCGTATACATGTTGTATAGAAAAGTAGATTGATTGATTGATTGATTGATTGATTGATTGATTGATTGATTGATTGATTGATTGATTGATTGATTCATTCATTCATTCATTCATTCATTCATTCATTCATTCATTCATTCAAATAGGCAGTAAGAAATCTCCTGTTTGCCCTACGACACTTTGGTCTAGTTAGCGTGAATTGCCTATGGACGCGCTTATGAGATGCTGCTGGATAAAACTCAACTGAAAACTTTCCTTTCAAACGTCTAGCTTAGTCTACCTCGTCTCCTGTCGCCTTTGCTCTAGGCCTGCCATCTACATTCGCAAAACCGAGTTGGCATACATTGCGGAGACAACGCCTTTCGGCGACCATCTTTATTCAAAGCATTGAGAATAACTTGCCGAGTTTTGCTGTTGCCGAGCACTTTAGCACGGCTGGTTACTCCGTCAATGCCGCCGCGGAATTGGGGTTTCCAGGAGATATATGCGCCTGGCTCTTCAACTAGGTACTAGTCCAGGCTTCCCTTTCCTCTATACCGCAGCAGCGCGCGCACTACAAAGCGTTTAATATTTTGAATTCATGGCGTATACAAAGCTCTGAGACTGAAAGCTTGAACTGGTTCTAACATAACTGTATTTTCACAGATGAAGGGCCATGGATAGTCTTTCTGTGAGGAGTCATTTTGACACCCAAGAGTCATTTCAAAAGTAGGCTGAGTTTGATCGTCCGGGTGAACGTAGTCCTGAATAGGACTGTTGCTGTTGACATTGACTGACGTTTCGACAACCTGTGCGATAGTCATCTTCAAAGTCAAAGTGAGTTGTATCACGTCAGTTGGTGATATTATACTCTGGTTATTGATCTGATTGGTCAAATACGTCGCGATGTTATTGGTCGTCTGTCAGTTAAGCCGTGATGTTATTGGCTATGAAGACTCGTAATCAGTAATTGGTGCGTTTCGATCTATCGATCTGTCTATTGTCACAGTTAAACAGTCGTCTATTGTTAGTCAAATTGTCAGTTCTCCAGTCATTCTCTCGTAGTTAGTTTTGCTTGATCTCGTCAATAAGTCTTTTGTACGGCGCTGGTAACTGTTGGCTACGATTCAGTGGCTTTTTTTCTAAGTTAGTAAACCAGCTTTCTAAAGTAAGACGTTGATTACTATACGTTACACATTTCGCAGAGTCCCAGTCAATTTGATGATTCGTCTTTAAATGGTGCTCAGCAATGTGATTGTTGACGTCACCATTCCTCATCCAGTCTTTCTACAATCCATGTGAAGGGCCAGGCCCATTTGGAAAACAACTCCATACACAGAACACGGCTCGTTTGTTCATACTTTCACATTTCCAAGCTGGTGACGTAGCAGAAAAAAGATTGATCTACCCAAGAACTATCCCAATTATAATTAAGCCCATGAATTGGAGACAACGAACGACGCTACTTTCCGAGACTTCTAGTGAACTTCCTGGGAATTTCCTGTCTTCTTGCAGCTCTGCCTTTAGCGCAATCTCAGAATTTCTTTAAGATGTACAACCCAACATATATTTCAGTTAAGTGATTCGCAATCCCATCTTTGAAAGTTACTATCAGTAAATACCGTGTTGTTGAGGTGGTCTGAAGATAAGTAGCAGTTAATTATCGTTAAAAGGAATGCTGAGCTTGGCGATGACATATTGTGAGGAACAAGGAGGTGGAAATCCGATTCATGGTTAATTAAATACACTTTTTTGAGGCTTTTTTAAATTAACACACATGGAAAATAACTTTCGCTGACATTATTGGTAGCAAATGATTTGTGATAGCGACGAGCAAGAGTTTTCCTCCTTTTAATTCTTTTCTTCTTTTCTTTTTTTTTTTTTCAATTCAAGCCTACATATAAACAGTAAATCTTCCAAAAATAAAATGAACGCCTGTCGGATCTGAATGAGGAGCTAGCACCGATAACTAAGAGGAAGTTTTAAAAACAGTTGTTGTTCATCCTCTCATTAAACTATTACTTTAATAATGGGTGTTTAACTTACAATTTGTCTAAATTTTAGCATAAAAAAGAACGAAAGATCAAAAGCTATCTCTATTATGATGATCTTTCACACATCCCATGTTTGTAAAAAGATTCCAACTACATGCTTCCTGAGGTGAAACTGAATTTCAAAAGCGCCTCGTCTTTTACAGATGACGACCAAACATCAAGTCTTTCAAATTTGGCCAACGCTAGCAGGTTATAAAGAGTTATCCATGGGATTTTGAGCCAAAACAGCAACATGAAAGGGCTCGTTGTTTCATGGCTGTCTAGTTCATCTTGTTTAATGCTACTCAATTAAAAGGCCTTGTTCGCTATGAAATTTCAGAAATTACTTGCGAATGAAAAAATTACAACTTCGTGTCAACCAAATACGTCTTTCGAACCTTATATCGAGCGTTAAAAAAAACCGTACGTCTTTAAAATCCACAATTCTAATCCGTTTCAGTCTTCCTTAAGTCTGTCCATCTGTGTCTCCTTCTTCTTCCTCTCTCCTGGGTAACAATACTCTTCGTGGATAAATAGCTAAGGCAATTCAACTGCGTGGATAACCACGAGACGGTGGGGTAGCCGTTGTGTAATCTTCTACTGGAGTAAAACAATGAGAACTTGGAAAGTTTTACGTTTCCGAGGGATTACCTTGAAGGTCTGGTAGTCTTGTCTTGCAACTTTGTCCTCCCGGTCGCAGCAGAGACGGTAGAAATGCCCAGGTTCTCCACCAGTGTAACGAGAGGCTTTTCGGCCTGTCAAACCAAATTGGCGGGAACGTCGAACTAGGAAAACAACGGAACTAAAGCTTTTCGCGAGGGAGCGAGTATTAGCAAAAAGTGATCTGCTAATGGAGGTTATTGACGGGGGAAACTGCAATTCGGTAGAGTGACTGGCTCGCTGCTGGCACTCGTTACTACTGCCAGAGGTACAGGGTCTAATTTCCACGTCTCAAGGTACGAAGGTTGGACAAGAACTGATACTTTTCTGTAATGCTGTAACTTCTTTATTGTAGAGTAAACCTCGTAGACAGTACTTCACATGTAATCGTACGTAATCAAGCAAGTAATCACGGGCTAGGTAATCATCGCAGGTAATCCATATACAACAGTTTAAGCACTACTTTTATACAGTCTACAGTAAACACAGGTGTTCGATTATCACAAAGGAACAAAAAAACCTATTCAAAAATACACGTGCTGGCTGATCAACGCGTTACAATTCGATTGGTTAAAAGACTTTTCCTTTATGGTGAAAATACAATACTCCCTATTTCGGTTCCTGGACTTTTAGAAAAACACATGCTGTAAATCAAGCTGAAAGAATAGAGCACAACAGTTGTTCTATTAAAATGTAAAATAGTTTTTGTCTAACAAAGAGACACGTACAGAAGTACACGTGTTCTATTGAAATTGCATGTCAGATGTTCCAATATTTGTGTACATGTCACTGCCTGCTATTTTGCATTTGGATTATACACATATTTCAGCTGCGGAGTTTCGAAAGGCACAAACGAGCCAAAACTAGATTTGCTGAGTAGTGCAGAATCGCTACAATAACGCTCTGATGAAACTGAGTTCTGTTCTAAAGTTAACATTGAAATATCGGCTGTGTCACTTTCCATAATTGCATTAAATCCATCCTGAATGAAATAACTAGGCAAAGGACATGTTCCATGGACATCTGTAAAGCAATTTACAGGCAAATGGTTTGAGTATATATAAGCTGTTGAGGGAAAACGTTTTAATTAATCAAAATCTCTTCTAAAACCAGCTGCAAAAAAAATTAAGCCTTGAAATAAACTGATCAATTGGCAACCTCTATGACCTTGCTTGGATTTCCTTCTTTGTTTGTTTGTTTGTTTCTTTCTTTCGTTCTTTCTTTTTTGTTTTTGTAAGGATGATGTGACATGGCATTCCTGGGATCTCTCTAAGAGTTCATGCAGAAAACAACGTAAATCGAGTCTCGATTAGCATTCACTTATCCTTACCAGAATACATGATTTCCTGATCTCTAGTAAGTGCAAAACTAGTATCCAAACTCATTCTGTACACCCTCTGGAAAATACATGTCCCAGTTCTCCAAATACCAAGGCTGAAAAGAAATTAAATTAATAACATATAAGTTAGGCTGTATAGTACGTGCACTTCTTGTAAAGTTCTTGTGGACGAGGTTTGTTGTGGTTGTCTCCGGGAGTTAAGGTGTTTCGATACAGTTTGCTTGAGTGGATTCATTTAAACTGACAGCTATAAGTGGACACCAGGGGGACTTCTATATAAACGTGACTGGAATGCTCGTCGCCAGATTAGAATTAATCCCCTAAGAGAGACCAATGTGTGTGTGGCTCAAGCGTAAAATGACCCCAAAAGGAGACCATCACAGTAAAACAGACATCACGGCTTTTTTTTTTTTTTTTTTTTGTAAAATTCTTTACGCAAAGCTCTAATCGATAGCTTAATGGGAAAATATAGTGACTTTCTGTCCCAGACACCCTAAGTGGGGCCAAAATCTGCAATTTACACTCCCCCCTGAGGCTAGACGAAGAGCATCCCCCTCACTATTATTGTTTTGGAGTCCCCCCTGTGATGTGACGAACAGCTGTCAAAGCCTTCGATCCTCAAAAACTGGGTGGAGCTCGGCTAACCATTAATTCACGCTTTCGTTTGAAAGCCGTTGCACTCAATCCCAACTCAACCATTATACCCACGATAAAGCTTCTAGATTACAGCACGCAAGAGAGAATACACGCTAAAAACTTATTTTGTTGCTGCGATCTTCACGGTTAATCATGTCATATAGTAATTAACAAGTGATGGCTCAGGCGTTTCAAACTTTACCTCAGACGTGTTTTGATTAATATCCCATTCACTCATGCCAGGGTAACGCCAGTGAGAATAGTCTGGAACAAGATGTTCTCCTTTTAAATTTAGTCCAGAAACGGCTGTCTCTATAGAGATGCTTGACTCGGATGAAGACCTTCTTCTCCCAGCTGACCCACGAGGCTGGCCGCGCTTTGAAGAAGAATTTCCTTCTGGAAAGTGAAAATGTGCGTGCAAACAATGGTTAAACAAAAATGTCGGTACAAAACCACATCTTGAGAATAACTTAATTTAATAATTACGACATCAATACGACTTCAAAATTTGTTGGCACGGGGAGATAAGGAAGCGAAGAACGTTTTTAATGTAGCGGTCAGTAGATCATTCAACGCGATAAATTCGACTAATATGTAGGGATTAACACCCAAAGATAAATCGTAAGATAATGCAGAGACTATTTATTTAGAAAATAAAATGATAATACAACGTTTTTTTCTTTTTTTAATAATGACTATATTACGATACAATGTCTAATTGCGATGTAGC